AACTGACTGCCATTCTTCAAAGTGTTTCTTGTTCCAGCTTTAAGGAAATGTAATAAGGCAAAAACAATGAGAAGTGCAAAACATGCAATTAACTCCATAAATAGTTACAGATAATATGAATAACATACAATTCTACTTATTCTGGGGAAAAACACAGTATCCTGGAAATTTGCACCCAAATTTCTTTAGAGAGCAATGGTAATTTGAAATAGCAGAAACCAAGTCATCGTGATCCGATTTCCACATTCCCAGGGAAAGCCTGCTCCTAGTTAAACCACAGTGCAGAATGCATCCAACAGGCAATCACAAGTTGCTTATCTTATTTCATTGCTGGATGAACACTGTTCGGCACAGTTTTCAATTACAGAGTTGCAGCAGTTGAGGAATGTTGTTTGTGAGACATATGGACACCAGTCAAGTTGCCTTTAAGTCATAATGAGGTGTAGCTGGATGTTAGGGATGTCTGGGTGTGCACACTCATTGCCCTGAAGTCATTTACCTCCCAGTGGTCTGGGAACTCCTCAGCCCATCCCTGCATGGATGAGGCACAGCTGGGGACAGAAAATGGACTGAGTGAGACAAGGTGACAGACCCATGCTGGAGGGCTTCAGGTGAGAATTTCACACTGTCCTAAGGACTCTCCCCACACAGCAACTGCAGGGCCAAGAAAAAATCCTATGCCTAAATTTGTCAGTTAACATCATGGGTGAGAACCTGCTCCTTTCACAGGCTCCTGGCGGTTACTGCTGCAGGACTGACCAAACTGTATGCAGATAGGATGCTAGTAAATGGCCCATGGAAACTTTCTGTAGAAGCACAAATGATCACACAGGACTCACTCGTACATAGTTAATATGATGTTTCAAGTGTAGTTTAAAATCATCTATAGCAATGGATGACACGTGTGCCAAAGCAGTGGCACAGGATCCCTCAGCACAACCAGGCTATGAAAACTGAGCAGAGAAGCTGGAGAGTCTCAGCTGAAAACATTGCAAGGAAGGATGCTCACAAGGGGAAATTCTGAGCAGCGAAGAACCATCTTGTTTGGGAGATCTGAACAGTACAGTGTGCCAAGATCCCAACTATTTTTTTAAATGCAGTCCATTTATTCGTGCAATGACACTCAGTAAAAAAAATAGTATTTCCATCCAAGATAAGCTGCACTTCACAATTATTTTTGTCCAGTTAAGTCCATTGGTTTTCAAAATAAATTAATTAGCCCTGCTGGAACTGATTTGTTCAGTACAAGTTATAACAGAAAATTCAATGCTCTCTTGCTTGAAATATTGGAGAGAACTAAATATTAACAGCTGTTTATGCAGTGCCAGATTTTACTGACCTCCAGTAAACTTGGAAGCACATGGCCTGCCATTTTGGGTGCAGTAATATTACCATAAACCTAGCACTAGAATATAATTCGATTAGATTACAATTTAGTACTACTAACCATCCTGCCAAATAGTGCACTTAGCACTGATATTCACAACTATTCCTGTGCCATAAAAACTTTGTATGTAATGTGAGATGCAGGAGTCAGGGGGCAAAGAATTTTGCCATATGCCTTTTTTGGCAAGACTGAAGTTTTTGTCTCTCTGTTATAGCCACAAGAGAATGAAGTCATTATGGAGATACTCTCTAAAAAGTATATTTATTCCCTAAACATTAAGTGTGTGATCACATGAGTATTGTGTAATGAAAAGCAAATTAAAATCAGCTTTTAACATACCACTGCCCTTAGCAAAGATACTGAACTGATCTTAAAAATACCTCTAGGCTCTCTTTTTGCACTGTGGGTGCAAATCTTAGTCCCCTGACAGCAGGGGCCCGCATCAGTTGAGGGGAATGGCTTATTTTATTTGCCCTGGTAGCTTTCAGCTAATCACATCTGGATTTATTAAGACTCTTTAATAGAGAGTTTAATCACAAGAGTTTGCCTGAAAGTTCAGTTGGGTCATTATATTTATAGTAAAATTGCAAAACCTCAAGTATATCAATTAGTCCCTATTCTGCATTATTTGATCCCTGAAAATAGCTGATGAAATATGTATCCGCAGGACTGAAGCCCATCTGCTTATATTTATTACTTCTAACTATTAGTATCTCTACGAGCTTTGTTTCAGTGAAGATTACTTATGGAATGGTGGTTATTTGATTGAGACAAGGAAGATTTTCACTTTCAAAATCCTTTCCTATTTGCCCTTGAGAAATAACTTGTGGAGCTTTCTCTTCTTGCTCAGTTACCTTTTACCAAAGCATATATTTATAAGACCAAAAATGCGAAGAAAATAGACAAAGAGAGCGATGTTCTAATTGCTTACAGAATCTATCAGCTAAATTACTTATATACATTGTAATAGGACAAGCTGGGAAGACTCAGGGTCGTGCAGTAATACTGTCATTAAGGCTATCAACTGAACATACACAGACTTTGTAACTGCTATATCACTTCTGAGATTGTTATCAGCAGTAATAATGAAAAATAAACCATCTAAAAACAGCCAAATCAGTCCTTTGTTCAGGTACTGAGTGAATGGTGCATTCAGCTGTTCTAACACAAGAGGAACTGGAGCAGAGATGACAAAAAGGGGCCCTGGCCGGAGCAGCTGCTGCTAAAACAGCATTTATACAAACCTGGTTCAAACTCCCAGGCAGAGTCTGTGGAGCTGGCAGAAAAGTTATTGCTATCATTTAGATGAATATGGGAACTACGATAGGAAAACAAATTCTGTTTATTATTTTTGAGATTTTATTTATAATTTTAATACATGCTGGTTGTTCCAAACCCAGGTGCTTGTTAGAACACTTTTTCATGTCTTCTACGCTCCATTTTCTGTGAATCTATGTCTGCCAAGGGAGTGCTTACCTGATCAAGAAAAAGCTAATTCATTACTATGTGAGAGAATTACTGAAGCCGTTCATAAATTATATTAATGCTTTTGTCCCCCAAAAGGATAGAGCAGAGAAGATGGATATAGCCATGCTCCAAAGAGCCCTCAGCAAATTCTTTTATTTCCTCTTCTCCCATAACTCTTCGCTGCAGCTGAGAGACACTTCCTTTGGAATTACCACGTTAGAAGCATTTCAAGGGAAAATTATAAGCTCTGGCTTGAGCTGTCTTATGAGAAGTCATTCTTCACTGCATGCTTAAAACTATCTGACACTAATATTCAAAAAAATAGCTAGAGGACTTCCACCCTGCCTCAAACATAATTCAGTGCATTTATTAAAAAAATATATGGAATATAACAGAAGTTTGGGAAAAAAAAAGTAAAGAAAAGGAATGAAAACAGCTATATAGAGTCATTGCAAGGGCACTTTTAGCTCAGCATCTAGCCTGAAACTGCAGTTAACATCAGATGCCAAGGAAGAATGTCAGATCAAGGAAAACAAATAACGCATCTTCCTTGGCAGCCACACATGGCTTCTGGCAGTGTGGTTCAGAGACTTGCCGAACCAGAGGTGATATCTCAGTATTCAATACCTGTGAGCAGACATGTTCTCAGAGAAGAAAAAAGAAAAAAAAACCAAAACCTAGAAGATCTTTTCAGATTGATCTAAACTTAAGTGTCCTTAACATCTGATGACAGTTTCACAGCGTAGCTAGATTTCAAGCACCTTATTTTATTCTGAGGATTTTTGTTTTCCATTTTCTACTTGATAATTTTGTTCACTACACTCTAGGTCTTGTATTAGAAAAGACAACCGCTTTCTCTTCAGTTTTTCTGTGTCATGACTTTCTACATCTCTGTCATATGACTCATTAACTGCAGTTTATTGAATTACTTCTATTTATGCAAGCAGTTTTGTACCTTTGATAACACTCGTCATGCATCTGCTATTCTAAGAGCATGTTTCTAGTGACTTAAGAAATGGAAACATGAAAAAAAAGTGTTTCAGAGCATGAAGATTTATGAACCTTAACACATGGCAAAATTTGATCTTCAGCCAACTCAAGAAGGCTGGAGAACTTGTGAATCATTATTGTCATACATTAAATTCAAGTAAAAACACCTTGGTTTGCATATGGTGCTTTCACCCCACTTTGACTTTGGTTTTCGAACACTCTCTGAAAACAGAGAAGCAGAAATGCAAGTGCTGTGGGCAGAAATCCAAAGATGACATAGGCTATGTGAAATGTAAGTAACTCTTCAATATATGGGTTGAAATGTCATTTAAGGTGAGGGCACGTTCCAATCTGAAACTGCCAGATCTCTCACAAAGCCATCCTGGTGTGATATATGTCAGCTTCAAAGGCCGACAGCCCATATTAGAACCAAGGGACAAGATTTGTTCCCTAAGTCACCTAAGTTACTGGCAGTTAGCCAGTTTCCCTCTGAATGTTTTTCTCATCTCTTACTGCGGGGGATTTCGGGGAGATTAGTTTCCACAGTAAGGTGTAACAGATGTCTGAAGACAAAGGGGGTGGCAAAGTCAAACTCTGTGAAGAACTCTTATTTCTCCCAAAGGCTCAAGTGCATTTTCAATGACTCAGATAGCAAAGAGCTGCTCTCCCTACACTCACAAATTTGATTTCACAATGACACAACTGACAAAAGTGCTCTAAATGCCACCTAGTATGTGAAAGAGGGTCAGAAGCAATGGGCATCACTGCTGCCTGTGATGGTCAGACCCACTCTTGGAGGGAGTGACAAAGATGATTAAGGGCCTGAAGCATCTCCTGCATGAGGAAAGGCTGAGAGACCTGGGCTGTTCAGCCTGGAGAAGACTTAATGGGGAATCTTATCAATGCTTATAAACATCTAAAGGCTGGGAGTCAAATGGATGGGACTAGGCTGTTTTCAGTGGTGCCCGGTGGCAGAACAAGAGCTAATGGGCACAGGAAGTTCACCTGTGGGGGTAACAGAGCACTGGAACAGAAATAGGTGGTGGTTTCCCTCTCTTTCTGGAGATATTCAGGACACGTCTGGGCGCTTTCCTGGATCCTACTGTAGGAACCTGCTTTTATCAGGCTGTTGGACTCAAGGACCTCGGGGTCCCTTTCAACCCCTGCCATTCTGTACTTCCCTTACCGTTCGTTTCCTAAGCGAAGCAATCATTCAGCACTAAGGAACCTGCATTTATCACTTGACCTACTGCCCACTATCGAGCCTCCCTTTCCGGAGCCAGGTGATAGAGAAGCTCACAAAGCTCAGCTGCAGAACGCACGCCCTGCCACAACCCAAACGCACAGCTGTGGGGCGCCTAAAGCACGGCCCGCACGGAGCAGGCGCAGCGCCCGCCCTACACACCAGCTGAGCCTGCGCGGGGCGATGGGCGCGCGGCAGCTGCGGGCGCTGCTGGGCCTGGTGCTGCTTTGGAGCGGCGCCGGGATGGCCGAGGCGCTCCATCCCACCGCGACTCCGCCGGCACCGGCGCACGGTAAGGAGGAGGCGGCGGCCGAAGGTCTGCGGGAACCGCGCGCGGCGCGAAGCTCGCCCCGAGCCACCGCGCGCCGTTCGGAAGCGCCCTGGGGAGGGGCGGGTGTCCTCGCCCCCACGTCCTCCTCCGCCGCAGGTGGGGCGGGGCAGCCCCGAGGCGCGGAGCGGGCTGGGCGGCCCCAGGGGATGGAGTCTGGGGGGCTGTTGGCTGGGGAGCGTGCCGCCCGTTTCTTCGCTCATAACGAGGAAATAGCCTAGGAAGCTGGCTGCGTGCTGTGCCATCCCGCTCGTTGCCTTGGGGTCGGTTATGTTATAGCCGCTTTGGGAAGGCTTGGTGAAGTGCTTCCTGGTATTTGAGTGGTGTGAGCAGAAACGTTGGATTAGTCTGCATTAAATTCGGGTATCCTATGCAGTCCGTGACACCTGCTTTTAAAGTCCCATTTGATGACTTTATTTTATGGTTTATTTTATGGTAGGGTTTGTGACAAACTTAACTGTTTCAACTGTAACAAACATCTGACTTGGTGAGACCTGGGACAGCAGAGGAAGGGAGCTGCCTGTTTCTCAATAGCTCCTCAACAGTTAGGAAGGAACTTGCTAACAGCTGCCTGTTAATCAGTCTCTTTCTAATGGAAGCATAAACCAAACCAAAGAACTTTGAGACCGAAACTGGATTGAGTTGTCTTTCCAAGGAACTTTGCTGCCCTTTTTGTATGTTTTTGTTCATGTGATTTTAGGAGGTTGCTCATGGCACAAAGTGTGCTGTGAAAAGATTCAGTGACCTTTAAGGAACAAGTGGTAGAAATAAGATTAAGTTAAGAAGAAAGGCTGGATTGCTATGTCATATCAGTAGCTTTGTAGTCTTATTTTAATCCTAAAGCAAAGTAGTTGGTAAAACATAAGGCCTTGCTGACTGTCAGGTGACTCAGTTATCAGAGTGATGGTCTCATGAAGAGCAAGAAGGCCGTTCAGTGGGCAGTCTGTGGCTGGAGGACATGGCATGCTGTGCTGCTGTTGTGGAAGTTTTACAGAGTTGGATGTGCACAAAACGGGGCTGCAAAGTTTTTCTGCTTGCCAGTGTCCCTATAAGAGGGATGTTCTACAAGGCTTGATTACTGGAATAAAAGGAAACCTGAAGGACAATAAGAGTACTTTTTCTAACTATGCCAGGTGGGAAGGATGTAGATAGAAAACAAATTAATGCAAACTATCCATGAATAACGTAAGTTTGAGCAGGTTTCTGACTACCTGAGCAGTTGTACTTTTTTGTTTTTTAGTGTAATAGTAGGAGCTTCCTCCTGAAAGGATCATTGAGCTGAAGGCTACAGTGCAGTTCTTAGTGTTTCAGAGCCTTGTCTTCCTTGGAAAAAATAGTAATAGTAAAAAAACAGCCCTTTGTATATGCTGCTTTTCTGCATAGTAGGGAGGTGGAGCAATGTTTTTAAACAAAGGCTTTTTTAAATTGTCTGTGCATTTCATTGTACCTGTATTTTGTGAAGGAAGAGCCTGTGTGCTTTATCTCTGTTGCTACACAGGTCCGTGAGTGCATTCCCTAGTAGGTGAGATCATACGTGTAATTAAGGTGCTGCAATTCCTGTATGTGCTGACAGAATTCTAGTCAGTAAAAAAAAGAAAATTGAGTGTAAACAGTAGTAGTTTTTATCTATTTCCCTGTGAGAATACAGTCTTGATACTGTAGCTAGCTCTGTGCAAGGTGTGTTATGCTCAGTAAAAATGGTACTGCTTATCACATCCTGCTTCTTGGTAAAACACTTCAGTAAGAATGATTCTGCTTATCAAATGCTGCTTCTGCTTCTTGGTAAACCAGGCATGCTATGTAAAAGCAGTTCTTCATTTTATGTTAGATGCTTAATGCTTATTTCATGTCAGTATAGAAGAAGTGATTGATGAATAACTAGAAATGTATTACTGTTAGTAGTAATGCTGTGCCTGACAATTTTTTTTCCCTGATGAAGTTATTATCATAGTGCCTTGAAAACATCTGTTTGAATTTGGGAACTTCAGAGTTGCTTTTTTCTTTTTCTATGTGCCTGTACACTTAGTGCTGTTTTCGGTCGGACTGGGGGGCTGCGTGTTCCTTAGCTTGACAGAAGTTGCATTCTGCTCTCTACTGTTGAGGGGAACACGTACCTGGTGGGAGATCTGTGGATCTTCTAAGTTGGGCAGCCCAGAGAAGTGTATAAAGCAGAACAAAACTGTTTTTCCAGTTCCTAGAGTAGCATTACATTTTGTAACAACATCATCCCTTTCATAATCAAAATTTTTGCTTGTACCTAGTAGTGTGTATGAGGGAAAAATCTCTAAGTATCACTTTAAACATTTGATGTTATTGAATACACATAAATGTGATACATGTGGTGGTGTTTTTTTTCTTCTCTAGCATGTTCAGAGTTTTCCCAGAGGTCCTGCGAAGAATGTTTAAAAAATGTTTCGGTAAGATTTTAAGTATCTTTATTTTATTTTTTTACTGGGAACTTGATGCTTCTCCACTTCCTATTAAGCTGAGTTGTGCGCTGTTCACTTGGCTGTTTGGTTGTTTGGTTTTTTTTTGTTCTCGTTTTCTAGGAATGATGAACCTGGTTAAACTACCCTTAATAGGAGGAGATCCAGATCAGTGAGTTGTAGGCTGGTTTTGAGTTGGTAGATGTAGTCACTTGATGTTCTTCTTCCCTCCGAATGTCATGCTGTGCTTTCCATCTCCAGGTGCCCTGCTCTGATCAGTTGCTGAGGGTATTTCTCTGCCTTGGCTGGAGGGCACTGACTGAGTAGAACGTGGGCTGCACATTGCTGTGGGTTCTGGGTGCTTCCACAATGCAACCAAGCAAGTTGCTGCTCCTGGTTTTGATTCTTGCCCTCAGTTTGTGAGCAGCATTGGTTGTATTTCTACCTTATAAGAGAGCTGGATAAAATGACTCATAGGTGGATAAAATGCCTTGCATTTCTTGTATCCAGACAATGAGAGCTAGCTATGAATGAAGCAAGCTAGAAATACCTTTTTCTAGAGATGTTCTGTGCAGTGACTTCAACTGAAGCAGACTGGATTGGTGCTTTGTAGATGTTCAGATGTGTTGGCCTCTCCACTGTCAGGCTGGGTCACTGTAGCAAAGTGTTTTGATTTCCATTGAGACTGTAGTAATGAAGACGTTTAAATCAGTGGAATTTGATTCTGTGTCCTTTACTCAAAAGGTAATACCCAAGTCTGTCTGCCCCTGCAGTGTGAGAGAGCGTTTCCAGTTCTAGCCTGTCACTGGGAAGAATTGTTTCAGGAGTCCTGCAATTACATAAGTTACTGCGAAACTTGCACAAGGGAAAATTGAGACATATCCAAACTTATCTGTTTTATGTTTGTTTTATGCACTTATGTATTTCTGAATTAAATTGCTTTGTATAGATGTAGCCATTGGTTGTGGGCTGGTGGACTGTATTTGTCGTCATAAACCTGGCATTGTGTAAAGAACTCTTCATCTCCAAAAATGCAAAGTAGGAAACAGGAAATATGGGTCACTGAAGTTTAAATGTTCATTACTACCAGTGGTGTGACTGTCACTTCAAATAGGCATGTGGCTGCTGCCTGGGAGGACCAAAACTGGCACATGAGCACCACCTTATTAACCTGAGAGCTGTGTGTTCACCTTGTGGGAGGAAAAAGTCCTTCAGATGTCTATGTGCTCTGAAGGCACTGTAGCAGTTACAGATACATTATTCTCAGAAGCTGTCAAACCAATGATGGAGACCAGTCTTGTGCCCATGACAGAATGATGGATGATTCAGATGAAATAGCATAGCTGTTAACCTTGAAGAAGTGACTTTAGAATGAATTCAGACAATTCATGCATACATTTAAAGAAGAAAAAGGCTATAAGTAAAGCTATCAGCATTTGAGCTAAAAGAAAGCAAAGGATTGCTGGAATTAGGTAAATTGCTTTAGTTGAAGAAGTTGCAAGTTGATGATTGTGTAGGTAATAGCAGCAGATAAAAGTAAAAATTAAACTTCTAGTGAATAGGTAAAAATCAAACAAACTCTAAAATGTAGTCATTTGATTCATTTAAATAGAGTTATAATTCAAAATAATCTGATCTTTGTAGTAATTATAGTTAGTCTTCTGAGTTGATGAGTACCTATTTTCTCTTATTTCTATCAAGAAGTTCTGAATCCTGCTATTGTCATGGATACGCTGGTACAGTTCATTGTAAACGTACTGTTTTGTAAGGAATAATGTGTAAGAGTTTGGGTTAGAACTTTTGAATCCAGAAACTCAGCTAACTCAAGATGAGTACTTATTACTATAAAATTACCCTTAAAAACTGAGAAATTTGTCATGAGATAATGTGTAGATATTGCTTGATGTCTTAAGAGAATCATCTCTTCATGTGATTCTCCGTTCTATTTACTTGATTTACTGGGTCAATTGTTAATTTTGGTAAATATAAGCACAAAACCTTTTTATTCAAGTGTACTGAGTACCTTAGTGTGTTGCCAAAATGACTTCAGACCTGTATAAATATTTATCTCAAAGTACAAAATTCAAATTAGGCTTACTTTGGAATTGTGCCAGAACTTCTGTAGGTTCCATACTACAAGATGCTATCAGTGTGTAATACTGTATCGTACTTTTGTCTGTGGAGAGGAGCACTTGATTATAAATTGCTCTGTAATTAATTGTTATAACTTGTTTTCTGAAGATCAATAATTTTTTTTGTTTGTTTTGCACAGTGCCTTTGGTGTTTCACCAACAACACTTGTATTGATTATCCTGTAAGAAGCATTCTTCCACCATCTTCGTCGTGTTCACTCTCAAATGCTCGATGGGGAGTTTGCTGGAGTAGGTACTAATTCTACTTCTGCGGTTGGGATGTATCTCCAGCTATGCTCAGTCTGAAGTGAGGCTGCCACTTACTGCAGCTTTTCCCTGATAATTTACTGGGAGGGTTTGTGGCAGGATGGGGAAGGGCAGTGGTTATGGTTGGAATGTGGGATATCCCTTTGGTCAGTTCAGGACAGGTGGCCCGGCAGTGCTCCCTCCCAGTCTCTGCACACTCCTAGCAGACTCAGACAAAAAGCTGCCTTGATGTTCAGCAGGACCTGTTCAGCAATAGCAAAAAGCTGGTGTGTTATCAGAACTATTTGAGCCAAAATTCTGAATAAAAATACAGCACTGTACGGGCTGCTGTGAAGAAAGTTAACTCCATCCCAGCTAGGCCCAGTAGGGAAAGACACTTGTACTGCATCTTTTTGCAAAGTAGTCATTAAGGGTTTTACTGATACTAAGGGTGCTTTTGACAGGTAGGTTGCTGTTTTTTTTAATGGAGGAAGGATTTCTAGCTTGTGTGGTTTGTGTTTCTGGACTGGATGAAGCTTAAACACAGAATTAAAACACTGTAATGGAGCACATTCCTGGCAAAAGTGGTAGAAGTTTAAAAAAAAAAAAAAAAAAAAAAAAATGTCGGAAAAAGATGTGTTTTGCTTCAGAGATCTTTTTATGAATTCTATGCAGCAGTACCTTGTGGTTGATACCATCTGGATGCCTACCTGTGTGACCTGTTGCTGGGTACCTGTTTTAGCAGGGGAGTTGGATTTGATGATCTCCTCAGGTCCCTTCCAAACCCTACAGTTCTGTGCTTCTGTGATCTATTCTTATTGAGGCTCTCCACTTCAGATTTAGTAGGAAACTCAATTAATCTGTGAGCACGGTCATCTTAATTTTTCTTTTTGCAAATAAAATGAAGAGACGGACATTGGCTCACTTTTGCTGAAAAGAAAGGTGAATATTGCAGCTCTCAGTATTCAAAAACAAATGACCAGCTTCCAGTTACTGTTTTTTATGGAATAAAATATTAATAAGTTATCAACTGCTGGTGCCCATAATGTACGTACACTGCTGCATCTACGTAGCTGCTTTTTGGTCACAGTACAGTGACTGAAGTAGTTACTGGGAGGACAGACCTGTGCAACTGCACTGGAAGATAGGTATAATATATAGTATTACAGAATGAGTTGTAACAGTTTTGAATGTGTAAAAAAAAAAAAAAAATAATAAAAAATTCTCCTCAGTGTAGATAATGCATAATAGCAAAATTCTAATGTGATGTGGAGTTCTGATTAGATTAAGGTGTTGGTTTTTATTTTTTGTGCATGGAGCTGAAAAAAGGCTTGGGAATGAGAGGGAACTATCAGGAAGATAAATGTTAATGCTGGAGTTTAACAAGTTAAATATATTCATGTTTTTCAGTAAACTTTGAGGCTTTAATTATTGCCATAGCTGTAGTAGCTGGAATCATTCTGGTGTCCATAGCAGTCTGTTGCTGTTACTGCTGTTACTGCAGAAAACGTTTCAAGAGGTAAGTATGTGTGTTTGTTTTCTTCACTGACTTTGGCTGCTGGTCTTCCCTACCTGCTGATGCAGCAGAAACAAAACAAAAACCCCAACCTTTTGCATGCCAACATACTAAGAGTCTTCCAATTTGAGAGCATATTGACTTTTTTTTGTACTGCTTTAATTGGCTAACGTCCTTTTGAAGAAGGGGGTATTAGTTGATGAGCAGCTGGCAAACTCAAAAACTCAGTGCTGTCATCTGAAGTGATAAGTGGTTATTTCCTTGTGAAACACCTGGAAGGCCGTGCTTATTGGGGCATCGCATTATTCTCCTTACTATTGGTGAATTTTAGAGTTTTAGGTTTCTGGGTTCCAGTTCCAGCTTTGGGATTTCTCTTGTGAATGAAATTTGGGCCCTCATTTCTTGATCTGAAATGATTTCTGTGCTATTTCAGGTAGGTGTAATTCATCGTCCTTGTTTGATTTTGTTAGAATTTATGCACTTGAGCATTGTTTAGTGCTGTCCTTCAATCCAGAGACAAATTATACATCTGTGGCTTTCACGAGGGGAAAAAAAAAAGTAATTATTTTCTCTTTTCCTTGAAGATGCATGTACCTGCTCTGCTGGCAGATTGGTCTGTCCTAGTGCAAATCCATCCCAGTACAAAAATTGCTAGCTCCATAGCCCTGTGCTGATAAGCCCTGAGGACTGCATAAAACTGCTTTAGATTTTATGTAAGATCTGTCAGCTTCTGCAGAAGAACTGTGTGGGCTCCTGTGGCTGACATGCAAACAAATAGAGCTTGATTCCTGTGAAAAAAGAGATTTGTGTCAGACTTCAGTTTTAGTAGCTGAGTCGTCAATCACTGCTGTAACATTTCATTCTAAAAATGGAGGGTTGGTTGAGAGTCATCTTATGTCACTACTCCAAAGGTGTCAAGCTTAATCTTTTGACACTTAGAGGATTTAAAGGTCTTGTCAAAGTGGGGTCCGGCTTATTTCAGGAAGATTCAGAATGTATTATTACACTGCAGTCTGAGATATTCGTAGCTTTAAACCCACTCATTCTCAACAGGAATTCTTTTGCCCTCTACTTCTGAGATTCAAGGACTCCTTTTCCATCAAAAAAGCTAGGTATAAATTGGAAAAATGAAAACTTGCAGAAGTGTAGTATTCGGTCTGTTTTGTTGATTTATTGGGTTTTCAGAAGCATCAGCATTCCTTCTGAGAGTTCACAACTATACAGTTATATAATGTTTTAGAAGGCAGCATCAGACTCCATCCCTACAACAGAAATCCTTTGGCTTTTAGGATATTGTTGCATTGTTATTTTTACTATGTGCTTGGACTTTGAGTTTTATTCCACGTACTTGAGATACAATTATTCATGAAACTTTACTAAAATAAACTTTCACCTTAACTACTTCAGGTTATCCACCCCTCCCCCTAAAAAAAAAAGTGATTGATCATTTCAAACTCCCTGAATTTGATGGAAAACTTAATTTCTTGGCAATGTCCAGAAATCAGAAGTTGATGCTTTTTTAGTTATAGGGAATAAATACATTCTCTGAACCCTATACCATCCTTTCATGATTTGGTGGCTTTCTATTTTGCAAGAACCATGTGAGGTGAGACAATCAAGAAGGCATCAGGGTCTCCAGTAAGGTAGTTTTACAGAAGGATACCTGTGAATAGAAGGTTCTAGTCTTCTTGGGTGCGCAAATATGGGGAATTAATTAATCAGACAAAAGGATCTAGCATAGTTTTCTAATAAAGAGAACCTGCTGTTTTCTACTGTTTTCCTGCTGTTTTCCATATTATTAAACTTTCTAACTTTAAATGGTAACAAAAATGCAGGGGCTGGAAAATTTGTACATTAAACGCAATGTGGAGTTTGAATTGGTGGATTGCGTTTAAACATCTTATGCATTCAAACGTGGATAGATTGATGGAACAGGTGGGAAAATCGAGTTCAGATTACTAGTTCTGACCTCCTTTTTCATGTTAAAACATTAGACATGCTCTAATTAACCACTGGATGTCACTCTTGCTTAACTTGTGTATTGGTTGCTGCAGATGTATGGCATTGTAACTGTTTCACTATTAGCAGATGTGTTAGCATTGCAGGTATTAATAACATTCCATCTCCAGGTAGTATGCTTGGTTCTGAAAAATGATCAGCTTCTAGAAGAGTATGGCGAGTGTCCGTTACTAGTCCTGAAGAATTGTAGTTTAATTCTGTCAAACAATTAACAAACAAATATTGTTTAGCATATGTTTTGGAGACTTACAGTTCTCATATGATATAGCTGATGAATAAGGGAAGCTGAGCTTTCTCAAAGCAAGCCACAAAGCTTTTCCTAGTGGCAGAAAAAGGCCGGATGCTGCAACTCTTACTGTGTTATGCAGTTTCAGTACGTGCATTCAGTAGAGTGTATCTGTGCACACGGCTCAGATGTACCTTGTAGACTCAGCATTTCCCAAATTCACACAGCTGATACACTCAGGTAAGTCCTTGCTTACTCTGTAACAAGGCAGACAGCTGATGAGACAGTTCATTCAGACAGCTTTCCTGAGGGCAACTTGAGATTGGATAGCAATGGTTGTTGGGAAAGATAAATTGTCCTGACACCAAAAGCTTATGATCCATCAGTCTTCTTTCAAGGAGCAGCGATGAACTTAACTGTGCATGTATGTGTGCAGTTGGCTTACTCTAAATGGGGTGCGACACACAGAGGAAATAGCAAGTAGGATCCCTGTTTCTGGAATGGTCTGTGACCTGTCTGAGGCTTTAAACTGTCCTGGCATGTTACTACAATGAACAAATCATATGGGTGTAATAAAATGTTAAAGGGTAATTCTACAAACTTTTCTATTATTCAGCAATTAAATTAAATTTTACATAGCATAAATGACTAAACACGGATTGTTTAGCACTGAAGTTGATTTTTCTTCCTCATACGCCTTCTAGTAGACCAGATGAAGAAGAAGAACAGCTAGCTAGAAAGAGGGAGGAACGAAGACTGCAGTCTCTTCAGAGGTAAGTCATGGCAGGTTGATGTATAGCTACACGCCTGCAGTAACATGGGAGTATTCTGCCTTTCTAAGGAATACATAGAATGCTTAACAAAGACTCTGATAGAGATACTGTGAAGTTTCCTTGACAGTGTCATACTTCTAAAGAACTATGCTCAATGTGAGATTTACAGACTGAATTAGGAGCTAGCATTTCTGTAACCTCTGATAGGTTGATGATCACTGTAGTAAATACTCTGAGCTCTCTGCCAGCTGAGAGCAAATGGGAGGGTTGTGTCTGAAGTCTTACCCTAGTCTCTACTCTGGACTGATGCCTGTCTGTGGCACAAGTTAATGCCTCATTGGGGCTGGGTTTCAGGGGTGAAAACCTCTTTTTGAAGTCATTTAATAATTTGTGTGCTTTCTTTTAAAAGAAAGGTAGACAAGATGATAGGTAAATATCAGAACTTCTGCTTAGAGGTAGGAAACTTTCATTCAGGTGTTATTTTATACAATCCCACATTTCTATTTCTATGAAAACTGCACTGTGTAGAAAGAAGTGTAAGGCTAATAGTGCTACCAAGAGTCAGCCTTGATACAGTGTTGCTCAGTGAGAGAAGCATTTTTCAGGATGGAGGCTTTTATACCTTAGTTCTCCAATGACTAGTTGTTCAGTATTTTTTAGATAAACAGATTTTATAGGTAAGGCCATGATACCTACCTGCACTATGTACTCTTTGAATCATAGTTCCTTCTTTGGTCTTACCAGTAAGATACCAAGTGGGCGCCTTCACTGCCTGGCCATTGCCTGCCATTTTCTCTTGAGCTTAGATTCACTGCTAGTATGAGTAGGGACTGCAGGAAGGGAAGGTTTACTTCCAGGTAAGACCCACTGGGGAGCTTTTGAACGAAGGCATTAAGTTTCTCATATGGGAATACTCCACATGTTGACACCTTAGTGTGGAGCATGTTGCCACAGCTGTGCAGTTACTCCAGCTTGACACTTATGAATTTGTTAATCTGAGTCTTGTTATAAAAGGGTGCATGTTCTTAAGACTAATCCTGACAGCTGATCTAGCAGTGGTGACTAGGTTAACTATTGTAATAAGTGATGGACTTCTGTGCTAGTCATATGCTTCTCTGTATGTTCCGTTAAGGGGATTTTCCATTATATTCATATCCTTCTTCTATCTTTTGTCTCAGTTTGAAACAGTTGTGTCAATCTGCAGACTTAGTTCTCACAAACTTTCCTATTAGTCATTGATAGTTTCCTGCCCTCAAAAAAAGCTTTCACCAAGTGAAACATCCCAGGAAGTATTTATTCACAGGTAGCCAACTATTGTTATTTTCTTGTTATCTTCTATGACGTACTGAATCAATGTGACGGGGTACAGATATCCAAACCCACCTTGCTACAAAGTTATGTCAGCATTTGTCTATTGGCAGACTGTTATATTCAGCTGTTGAGAATCTTCCTCCAATACTATCTGATAATTGTGCTTTCTTGGGAAATACAATGAACAATCAAACTACAGATGTTTTAAAGTTCGGGACACTATGATTTCTCAAGCTCACTAGAAAAAAAAAGCATAGAATGCATATAAAAAAATCTGTATGTCTTTTTTTCATTCTTTTTGTTGAAATTCTTTTTTTTTTTGGGGGGGTGTGGGGGGGAGTACACCGCTTTACATTGTTTGCATTATGATTTTTGTTACTTTTTGCTGCTTTTTTTCTTTAGGGAAAACCTCACATAGTTGTGTGATGGTCATTGTGCTTTGACTGTTATGAGCAAGCTTTTAAAAAGACATGATGAGAGATCCTCTAAGATAACTTTTCTGATATTATGAATACCTGCAGAGTTGTTATGAAATGTTCTTCAGATAGCAAACTGCTTGGGATGATTTGACAAGACTAACGCATATCTTTTGATGTACTAATATGGATCCCAGTTTTTCATCAAGAACCTTGACAAGCTGTGTCCCTCATTCATTCCTTGTCACCCTGTCTAACATCAAGATTTGACCTCTACAAAATAGTACTGCTAGTAGTCAGAAATTCCAGTGTCAGCAATATGTAGATGATGTGTTGCTATGCTTTTATTCACCCTTCCACTGTTATTCTGTTCATTTGAGTTTTTTGAAAATTGGGATTGATGAAGCTGAGATGAAGAACAACAGAGAGAAAAGTGGTTTTCTACTAAAAGGGAATCCTCTCAGAGAATCCTGTGAGGAATGTGAGCATTTTGTTGTATGTCAAAACCATGTGTCCTGTTGTGCTAAACTTATTTAGGCCACATATATATATTCAGTGAAATGAACACTTAATGTGTATTCTGAAGCAGTGGCTCATGACCAGGGACACAGGGGATAGCTGTATACCATAACGTCTCTACTGTGATCTGTATGTCATCTTCAAATTATTAATATGGTTAATCTTCAGGAAATCTGATGCTTCAAGAATGCATACTTCGCTGTGCACGCAGCAGAAGTGGTGTTGGATAATTTACAAGGCAGAGCTAAGACTGAATCTGTTCCTGAACTAAGCCTGGGAACAAGGATCGCTGGAAGCATGCTGCCCTGCCCGAATGATTGCTGCAGTCTTGGAGCAGCAGCTCTCTTTCCTGGCTTGTGTCAGGACTGTCTATGGAACAGGTACACTGTTCCCATTGCAGAACAAAACATAACAGCAGCCCTGGGGTATTTCATGTGTTCTGAACCCACGTACTTGTTTAGTACCCAGAGAGAGCTTGGTAGGGTTGTGGAAAAAAGCTGAGAGCAGGCCAGAACACCTCTCCCTGCCTATTACTTGTTTCCTGTGAGTCCTGAATGAGAAGGGATTGCTAGTAGCAAACTCTAAAGTACATTAATAGCTTTTTTTGACCAATAAGCTACTGAGAAAACATGATCTTCTATTAACTGGGAATATGTTGGTATCTAAATTCAGGACTATAAATGTTAAACACTGTTAAACACTGTTACATTGTTAAGTAGAAACACAAGTAGGTATCTTAAAAATGTTGCTACTTCGCAGTGGTGGGCAGTGAGGGTGGTTGACAGCTGGTGTCTAATATCTTCCTTCGTTTTTCCCTCCATACCTCTGCAAGGGAGAGAGGGATGAGAGAGTAGAAATTAACTGATTAGGTATTTGGTTTCTGGAAATGGCTAAAGTTTGGTAGTGTTAGATACTGTCTTGAAAACTTAGACAACGTAACTAGATGTTTTTTTTGTTGTTGTTGTTTTTTTTGTTTTTTTTTTTTTTACAATATTGCAATATTTTAGTGTTTTCTCTGCTTCAATACAGTGTTAAATCATAGAAACTGCTAGTTCTCACACTTGCTGTGCTGCTTAAATAAAGCAATAATACATCACCTTTTGTCTTCATGAAAATATTATATTGATTCATGATTCTGAAGCATGCTGTCTTCACAGCTAAATTTTATATTTATATTCCTAGCTGGAAAACCTTAGGGAGTCTTCTAGTATTGCTCCTTGATTCTTGTGTGTATATGTACATACATCTGGGTACGTCACATATATAGAAAAAAGATCGATTTGTTGTGCTTGCAAATGTATTTTTAGTGATGAAATGGTTAGGGAGAACTTATAGAGAATCCTGTCTTTAAGAAACATAACTGACAAATACTTATAAAAAATGTATATTTTTAACAAATTATCATATTTTGCTTACAGCTTAAAATAGTCTGAATGTTCTTCTGATGCCTTTATCTGTTGCAGGAAACATGAAAGAAAACAGAAGCATGATGAAATACGTAAGAAGTATGGTATGTGATATATTCAGTATCTAAATTTATTTTTTCCCTTCTCCTAATTATTTTTAAAATTCACAGTGGAGGCATGCTGCTTTATGAGCAGCAGAACTAATCAAACCTGATTTCCTACTCTTGTGTCTTCTGCCACCTGAACACCTGATCTCATTGCTGTTTATGTTCTTGTTCTCTTCTGGTGCAAATTCTCCAACTGGGTGAGAGCAGATGTGCTGAATGGGTTGTTTGCTTAGGGTAGTTGTTTAAATATATTGTAAGAAATTCTTTCTGCATCTTCCTAAGAGTGCTGTTGTGTTTTTATTTTTTAAGTTCTTGAATTCAACAAAACAATCTGGCTGAAATTTGCTAGCAGACCTAGACCTGTGGTTATTGAAGGAGGGCAGACTGGCTAGAAAATCAGCTTTTTAAATCAAACTTTTTTTTAAAAAAAAAAAAAAAAAAAAAAAAAAGACAACTGTGATTCAAATTATTGTGGCTTGTTTCTTGTTAAGTGGAATGGTGATACTGTAGGAGATGCATACTGCAAGGCCGTGAGACCTGGTGCATCATATAGGAGACTTCTATTATCTAGGCCTGTCAGTCCTTTCAGTTTTCATTGGACTTGTTCATTGGGTTAATAGTACTGTGTGTTCAGAGACAGATATGCTACAACTATCCTGCACTTATTATGCAAATTCCTATAATGTCAGAGAAGGTGGTTCGAGGGGTCTGAAGAGTCACTCAAAACTGTTAATTTATCCTCCTCTTAAAGTGTTTGGCAGACTCTGGCAATGCCACGAGTCCACAATGCAATGTGTCCTCTGGCTGATGCAGAAATAACACCTTTGGGTATGATGCAGAAATAACACCTTTGGCTGTATGGGAAAATCTCTCCCTGGGAAGTACACAATTCTGCTGGCACAGAGAAAAAAATCAATGTGAAGCTTAAGCTGAAGAATGTTGTTGAGAGAAGAATTCTTGTTAGATGTCAGTCATGAACTTCAGTCCTGTAGTGTTTTGTAGGGTGACTGAACTGTGGTTGGCAGATGGCATCAGTTTCAATAGGTCTGAATCTTTTTCAGAATTTTTTTTTTAAGTAACCAACAACCTTAGGATTTGACTTTGGAATAGCAGTTAGCATATCAAAGCACCGCTCTGGGGTTAAGTGAGATTTCAAATAGCTGTGTTCTGTTATTCTCGTTGTGATATTTAGTTTGATTGTCTCTGGAAGGCCAAAAGATGGTCATCTTTGTGAAGATTAGCTTCTCTCTGAGTGCTTAACTTCAGGAATACTTGGTTGAATCTTACTTGGAGTACATGAGTTTTCTGAAGAATACAACTGTGATTCAGTGCCTCTGGGATACATGTGCCAAATTCAAAACCTTGCTTGTAGCTATCCTGAGAGTTAGTGTCATTTTGCCCCTCAGCTGAAGCTGGGCTGTCAGTAACATATTTGGGATCACGTTCATGCAGTCTTTGTTAGTGGAAGGTGTATTTTGTCGCAAAGCATCAAGAATGTCCGTTCCTTCTTGTAGTTAGACTTTGCAATGCAGTTTACCCATAAAAGATTGAATTAACTGTCAGATTTGAGTAGAAAATTTTTTTATGTAAGGTTTATTTGTTGACTGGTTTGCTTTATTGTGGAATCAGAGATTAATTTGTGTTACCAGATATGTTTGAGGCCTGTATTTCAATCATTCATTGTTTGCCCTAAAGGAAAACTGAACTCTTATATGAATCATTGGGACATACTGAAAGGAGGCGGGTAACTGAAGAAAGGTGAAAGACAAAACATCCAACTTCTGAAATTCCTAGATCATTGCTGATCTATACAGCTTGTATTCTGATCACATGCAGACACGTGGCTGTCAAAATAAGTCAGTGGGACAACGCAGTAAGTCCAGCTGTAACCTTTAATCTTCTGTCTTCATTTTTAGCTGTCAAGCAAATACATATGTTAGCATATTAAACATAATCTAATAAAAATTGCTGCAAATAATTACAGAGACGCTAGATTATTTTACACTCTTATTCACTGCAGAGATGATTCCCAGTTAAGTAGGCATGGATGAGTGGCAGAATGACAATGACTTTGTTAACCTGACTCTGTAGATTAAGACGATCATGCCTGAAATTTCAGTATTTGGTTGGCTTTAAGGGAATGCCTTTTCCTATTTCATCCACCAGCTTTCATTACCCCATTTAAATGGTAATTACACATTTATAATGCATTGCAGGTGTCACTCTAGCCACAGTCCTTTGGGAGCTTTGGAAGCTATAGAGAGCTTTAGCAACCAGGAATACACACTTTGAATTCTTTCTTTGTGGCAAAATTTGATAGTATTTCTCATTTGCTCACATATGTGAATGCAGTGTGATTACACAAATTATATGTTGACTCTTAGAAAATTTTAAAGTAGAATTCAGAGTACTCTGCAGCTTGCGTAACACACAAAGGAACTACAACTTAATTGCTGCTGAATTTGCTGCTATTATATGTTCAGTATTTCATTAGTAAGAAGCTGCTTTATTTTTTTTTCAGGATTTTGCCTGGGATTAGTGGAAGGATTCTGTATCTGTTATTTTTACAAAGTGATTGCTTTTCAAGGTTTTGGACTTCCAAACCACTTCAGTACTGCAAAGGTTTTGATAGCCAATTTAGCAATCCTTCTATTTGATGTGGCACATTGATTTTTATATTCAGTAGTTTGTCTCATCAAATGTTCTCCTATTTGGTATGCATACTTCATATTGACCTTCTTTAGCGTTCTGGATGTATAACAGTGAAACTTGTAATGCTGTACACTTGAAGCTGTATGAAGCTTGTATGTTAAGAGTAGGGTTGTTAATTTGAATGTCAAAGAGGAAATGAAGATATGCAGCATATAGCAAACCAGCTCAATTTTTGAGGTGTGTACAATGTCTTGTAAGTATTTCTTTTGATTCTGTTTTCCAGCAATGCTGGTTGTGACGAGGGTGAGATATTGCATAGTTAGCATGGTATATAGTATAAATGAACATGCTGGGAAGACTTATTAAATTTCTACAATTGCCTTGTTGTTATATATGTAGTGGGAGGCTTTATTTCATACAAACTAAGGAAAGATGTTTGACTATATGCCTTTCAAATTTCCTAGTCCTACTTAAATACTGGTAAGTAGGTCAAATAGTAATCTGGTAATGAAGATGAATAAACGTAAGATTCTCACGTTTCTTCTAATTGTCCTGCACAGCAGTATTTAAGTTTACAGTAATGTTTAAGGGACTTTATTGCAAACAAAACTCTTCAGTCTGCAAGCGTGTAGCTGCTTTGAACCTGTGAGCGTAAATTACAAGTTGGGTAGTTGCTCCTTTGCCAAGTGAAACAGCCTTCATGTCTGGTTCAAGGCAGTCTGTGAGCTCCAGTTGCTCTGGGCATGCTATCCAATTAGCATAGGCTTGCAGCTCCTCTTTAAGTATCGTGGCTAAGAGCAGCTGTGGCAGCTGACATTAGCTTTCTGTCATGCTGCTTTTTTCATGTCTCCCCTTTTGTCCACTTACTGAGACCTGAGACAACGTCTTTGGTAAGAATTAATTCAAGTGATGAGTTGCTCTCTCTCTTTTCTCACTTAATACAATTTAGTGATGTACTTAAAATACTGAAGATTGAAGAAACTTTAAGCCTGGATGCATATTTGAGAGCAAGATTGAGCTCCAAAGTTTATTGAATGTTATAACTGCTGTGATTATCCTCATTCAGAGGACAGGCTTGTACCTTCTTTCCTGGGAGTCATCCATAGTTCTTAAAGCCTGAGCAATTCCAGTACTGTACAAATAAAACAGATAAGAGAACTTGAAGTTAACTTAAAATGTGGAAAATGTATCTGCTCATCATCAAGCTTGTCAGTTTAGTAATATTAAAGGAAGCACTACAAAGAAATGCATTTGCAGTAGCAAACAAAAATGACTCATTCACTTGAACTGTCAGGACTAATGTGAAATGGCTCTTGGCTGAGCAGGTTGGGGGAAGGCAAATAAGGCTGTCCTCTTGAAAATGATATATGAAGTGTATCTTCCCCTGATTAACTGGAAATTGGCAGTACTGGATGTGGAACACCACTTCATTGAATCTCTGCTGTTTGAGCTGTAAGAGAACATTTCTGTGGTTTTACTGTGTTACTTGGCACTTCATACATTGGAAGGTATTTGTTTAGATTGAATTATAGGAAAGACACAAAGACTTACCAGACTATGTACAGAAAGATACACAAACTAAGTAAAATCAGCAGAGCTATAGATGTGTGTGTGTGTGTGTGTGTGCATATTTGTCCTTTTTCAGGGAGATAGTTACTTGTTTTTGGTATGTGTTTTGTAGCTGTAACAGGTCAAAGACACTGGTCAAGGTAACTCAACCAGTTGCTTCTTTGATTATCTCTGTCGTTTTGTCTGTTTATGAGGCCTTTAAGTAGCTAAGCTCAAAATTAAGGTTATCGTTATTTGCCAGGGCATCTAGCAGCACCTTCTGCCACTTTGTGGAAGATTATTCTCACATTTGGCACCTTGGCTAATGAGTGGCACTGCCTTGTACAAGTTTAAAGATTAGAAAAAAAATTTGTGGGTTTCAAAATACCATTAATTCCTGCACAAATGCCTAAAAGGCCCCTTTCTCTGAATAATTATAGGAAGGGGCAGTGCCTTCAATACAACGTACTCTATCAGGTAACTAGATTTTCTTTCTACCTGATTGAAGCTTTATAAAGGTGACTGACCCATTCTTAGTCAAGTAACAGCTGTTAGATAAGAGGGCTGGTTTTAACTTCTTAGAAATGGTTTGCTTGAAATCCTTGCAATTTGAATAATCATAAGAATTTTTGTGCATGTTCCTTAATACTGCACTTCCCTATCAAGTACTCAGGTGCAGTTAGATACGATAATCAGACACACTGCTTGCTTGGCATTGTAAAATGTGCTGTTAGTTTGAAAGAAAAGCAACAAGGCAGTCAAGTATAGTCTGCCTTCGGTACTTTTGAATAAAAGATGTATGAGGAGTGCCTACATGACTGGCCGATGACTAGTGTAGTCTCATCTACTGTTGTGAGTGTGAATATTTGTGAATTGGGACTGTTTGGCTTAGCTGTCTTCTCTCTCTGTATCACAAGTAAATGAGCTAGAGAGTCCAGGCTTGCCAGGCAGCAGTATAAAAACATTGGTATAAAAGAGATTGGCAGTTGCTCTGTCTTTTCACAACTTCAGATCAGCCTCTCGACTCTTACAGGACTCCTTATTTTCAGTATGTGCTTCAGCCTAGCTCAGATCTGGTGTGTGGTTTAAAATCCTTTTGAAATAATTGCTGTATGGAACAGTGATTACTCAACTAACCTTTCAAGAAGATGATAAGCAAATCCAGTCACTCGGTATAATTGGGTAGCTTCAGTGTTTTCTGACAGTGTTCTGGTTAAAACATCAGGAGTCTTTGTGATGGAAACATGCTGCCATTTGGATTAAGTGGTGCTCTTGTTTTGGTCCCTGGTGCTTTTATTGAATGCAGGGATGATCTTCATTTGTTCCTAGAGATTGTTGTCCTGTTGCAGAAATGCCCTAAATGGCTGGAAGTGACAAATGATTGTGCAGATTTGAAGCGGAGTTAAGACAAAATAGCAGTATTGTACATCTGAAAGGGTGGTGATTGTGTAACTTGAATTTATAAACTGACTCATCTGAATCTGCTCTTCCTGAGCCAGCCCTGTACTTAGGTTTTGTAGACCTGTCTCTTTCAGATGCATTCTGTGGACAGTACCTCACAAATGAGAAATTTGTTCTCCACAGGACTTTTCTTGTAGAAATATTTTCTCTGTTAAACCATGAAATACCCATTGATGAGCATAGTCTGAGAATTAAGAGGGCTTAATAGCACTTTCATTATTTTACTTGAGTGTCTGGGTGATAGACCATCTCTCACAAGACAAAAATTCCTTTTAGTTTCATTACATACATAGTATCAGTTGGAGTGAGATCACTAACACAAGCCTAAGCAATGCTTATGATAAAGCATTCACGATAAAAGAAATGATAAATGCAGTTTTGTTTTTGTTTTGCAGGTCTTCTCCAGGAATCTGATAATCCATACAGCAGATTTGAGAATGAATAAAGCTGTGCACCTTCCTTCGGACATGCAGCTCCAAAATACAGAAAGATTGTAGGTTTATGGTGGTTTCCTTTGTTGCTTTTTTTCGTTTGCTCTTTGAGGTTGTCTTTTATTTCTGAAGATGGTTCCCCACCTCCTCCCAGTGGTTATAAAACTTAGGTGTGGGCGGAGATTTCATGAAATATGTGTCTCTATCTTTTATCCATATATTATCCATATAGAACTGTTTTTCTTATAAATGGTTTGTTGTAGAAACGTGTGCTGATTATATTAACATGTTTGAAACATTAACTTTCTTCCTCTTAAAACTGTCTTCTGTTACCCAATTTAGACGGTTAGCAGTCACAATCAAGTACTTAAATTCAGCATCAACTCCCACCTAAACCATTCTTCCTGTGTTCCTAAATAAAGATTTTCCTTTATTGTATCTGTTTTTATAAAAAATAGAAGGCAGTAAGGGAGCATAGCTTCACACAGCAGAAATAACTGATGTTGGTACTGAGGTAGGTGGAACTACAGCAGGCACATTCTTATGTACCACCATAACATGAGAGTGATTTTCTTGTTATCCCTTTGGGAAACAGTCTTCAAAACTACTCAACTGTTGTCGAAGGGCTTAATGAGGGGAGCTTATTTCTTTTTGAGTAATGAAGTGCAGTTGTGAAAATCACTGATTTTTGAGAAAAGAAATTACTTCAGAATTGGCAGAAGGTAATTCTTGAAATGAATGTAGAATGTGACTAGATGTGTATGCACCTGCTTTTAAGAAGGAACATCAGCCTCTGTGAACACTTCTTTTGTATGCTTTTTTGTAAGTTGCCAATGTTCTGTAGTTGTGATGGAGTGAGCGCGGTGATTTGAACCCAGCCAACACTTGAGCACTGCTCACTTGCTTGCTTCCCATCCTGCACTGCACGAGGGAGAAAATGGGAACAGCGCAAGTGAGAAAACCTATGGGTCAAGATTATGACAGTTTAGTAAGTGAAGGAAGCAGGAGGGAGGGGGGGGGGGGGGAAAAAAAAAGGAAAAGGGTGATGCAGTCACCACTTTCCAGAAGCAATCTGTGTAGTGGCCAATTCCCACCAAAACACATTCCTCTCAGGTTTTATTGCTGAGTGTGATGTTGTGTGGCATGGACTGTCCCTTGAATTGGTTTGCACCTACTATCCCAACTTCTCTCTTTCCACCTCCTTGCACAGCCTCAGCCTGTTTGCTGGTAGGGGTGGACTGGGGGGAAAAAGAAACCCTGACACTTTGCAAACGCCAGTGCATTGGTGTGTGATCAGCTCTGCTTTAGCCACAAACACAAAACATTGCACCGTGCAGACTGTACTGTGAAGACTGTTAAATCCATCCCAGCCAGACCCTGTGTACTAAGTATTTTGTTAACCTTTTATTCTTCTCCATGATGTGATTTACTTCCTCTCTTTTCCTAGAGGTTTTTCCTTGGGCATTTTTACTTACCAGTATGCTTACCAGTATGATGCAGCAAGCAAGGTTTAACTAACGGCTTAACTAACCTTCCTTTCTGTGTATTATCAAAAAATGTACAGTATTGAAGATATGTTATTTTTTATCAATGTTCTTAAAATAAATACTTTAACATCCTTAGTTTGATGTTTAGTTCTGTTCTTTATGATTGTGGTATAAAATAAATGACCAAGTATGAGTTTGGGAAGAGGAAGAAGATATTCTGCTTTTTTTTTTCTGATAAAAGAATAAGAACTTAATGCCATGTAAATGCAGTAGGAATTAGGTTTTGCGTCTGTGTGCAGAGGTGAATTGCCATTCCTTGCAGTGCCCAGGAACCTGCCTGTACTTCAGCTTTAGTGACTGTCTTCTGTTGCTGCTTTTGATACAGTGATCCTTTCAATTTTTTGCGCTGTGATTTTTCAGTGTACAGTTCCTTGAGGGCTTATATAAAAACATGGCACCTAGTTCCTGGATCTGTTTGGAAATTACCATTAATAGAATAGTGAGGTGCACTTTTTTTTAAACTTGTATTTGACACTTTATTAGTAGAAAATGTCTAATTTCATGTTTCCTCAGCTGAAGCCTTACTCGAATGGCTGTCTTGGAAAAATTATGGTCTGTGATAAGAGTGAGTTGATAGCGTGGAAATAAAATGTGCTGATGGTTTTCCCCGGAGAGAACTTTTGCAAAAATGAAGGTCTGCCTGCTGTCTCACGACCCAAGTAGTGCCATTCCTGACTTAATAGAAACGCATTTTTCTTCGGCACCTGCTGCATTATATGAAGGGCTGTCATGAATTCTAACAAAAGGGGGAGGAGGAAAAACCTTTGTTATAATTTCAAAGATGGACATGTTCTTAGAGAGCCAGACATTGCGAGAATGTGGAACGGATGCTGCAGTGCAGGATAGTTGTGTATTGCATTTAAAGAGAAGGTTGAGTGAGATGAATGCCATGGTAAACATCTTGTTTACTTGGGTTTCCTCACCGTGCTTGTGGGTATCAAGAGGTAACAAATAGCCAAATGTATTTTCATTGCTGTGTTTGTGTATGCTAACTTTGTAGTGTAGGCTGTAATTTATACAGAAGTCAAACTGGTCATCCAGTAGTGGGATATTTTGCTTATAATTCAGAATAGCTGTTGATGATGAGACCTTTGTGGGCAGCAGCCTTAAAACTTTGTAGGAATTGCAGAAATCCCCAATCTGTACCCAGACTTCTCAGATTATTTAACCTGTGTTTGCTGTGATCATTGGAGGAGTTAATTGGATGGAACATATTCTTACTTCAGTATTTCAACTGAAGCCTCTGAGCTCTCCTGTAGGTATTTCTTATTTTTACAGGGCTGCTGGATTTGGTTTATCAGCAGAAAGGTTACTAGTCTTTGTGTTTTAGTGTAGTCACAAGAAATAGGGAAAACAGCTGTAAAAAGAGCTAACAGCCTGTCTTTGGTTTTCAGCTGTGTGAACAGTGGCATTTATCATTTTCAATGATAAGTTTCCTCTCCTTCACACTTTTTAATAGGAAAAGAGATGCAGCATACAAACAGAATGAAGATAGCACAAGCTCTGAGAGCTAGAATGCCTCTGGGTTTTTTGTTTTTTTTTTTTTCTCTTAAGTATCTTCTTGGCATCAGACATCCATATGTAGTTTTCACTGCCTGTCCTTTCAAAAAAATCAGCGTTCAGTTTATTATTACACCAAGGATGTGCCTGAGCATTGTAGTCAACCTGCACGCTAAGTAGTGTCCTGCTATGGCTATAGGATGCCACTAGTAGAACTGCTGAATGTGCAGTTCTTTAGATTTTTCTCTTGATCCAGGTGTGAAAGCAGCAGCTAGCATGTGCTTCTTCCCCTCTTCTTTCCTTGTGTCAGGGATCTGCTGGGTAAAGAGGCTCTGAGAGGATATGGTAAGGAGATGATTGAGGGAGTGGGGGTGTCAGTCTGGGAGACAGTGATGCTGGCAGCAGTGGCAAACAACTGCACTCCTTGCCTGCATCTGAGCTTGATTGCCTTTGGTTTGGGGCTGCAGGCAGCTCTGACTGCTCTGCTGCAAATTGAGGACCCAGGAGGTTGTGTGTGTGGAGGGTGCAAAAGGGATGTTACTGTGCTCAGTAGGGAAACCATCAGGTCAAAAGAAGGGTATTTCCCTTTGCACTTCTTAGATGAAGTTGCTTGTGTTACATGTCCTGTCAAATCAAAATGCTGAGCTCTCCCGAGTTGCTCTGTTATAGAATCACAGAATCACCAAAGTTGGAAGAGACCTCCAAGATCATCCAGTCCAACCATCCATATACCACCAATATTTTCCCACTGAACCATGTCCCTCAGTACCTCATCTAACATTCAGATATTCTCAGGTTGATTCAACCAGGCTTACTGTGCACAGGAAGTGTCATTAAAAATGCAGAGCTTTCCTGACCTAGCTTAGATATTTCACAAAGAAAATGTTTAGTGGTGTCTTATGCGAGCTTTACCAAAACAGGAGGGGCAGAAGGTAAGTCCATACCTAGAGAAAACAGCCATCAGGTTTCAGCAGTTTCAATTTATTTATCTTCTGCTGGAAGTCTGGACCACTGGTATAAATTGCTGATCAAATGTTGGAGTGAATTTTCTCTTGCTGGTATGGCAAGCGCTACCCAACAAGAAAATGTAAGAGGGCAGAGTTTTTGAGCTGTCGCTCTGAGTCAAGTGCTTGCTTGGCAGATAAATGGGTAATGGAGAAAGCAAAGTCACTTTGAGAACCACCTAAGCTTGCATCTGTGTGTGTGTTAACATGATAAAGTTAGATGCAGGATGAAGATAAAGCCATTGGCAGCACATCCAGAGATGTTTTCTTTTTTTAATTTTGACCTTCAGTTCACTCTGCAGAGAGCTGTCAACTAGAAGCATAGCAGAAGTGGTTGGGAAATGTTTAATTATCTCAAGTTGAGATGGATTTTCTTAGCACTGCTCCTGTCAGAGTTCCTGAGCTTAACTACAGCTCTGACCTGCACCTCCAGGGCGACCTTTCCTGTACCCTCAGTGCCACCTGCCTTGGAGCAGCGCTGAGCACTTGGTGTTCTCGGAGCAGCCCTGGTTACTTATTTTCCAAGCAGCAGTTAGGTATGACACACACACACATCACTTTTGCCCTCAAGAAAAAAAGGCTATCAAGCTCTCATTACTTCTTCCTTTCTATCACTGTGGCAATTCTTAACTCCCTATAACTGGATGACCTCTGAAGTTCTCAGCTCTGGTAACCAGGGCTTGCAACTTTACAGGGTGTGAGAATCTTTAAGATGACAGTTTCATCTATTGCATTTCAAATGTAACAACATTTTCTTCAATGTTCTAGTGGTCTTCCTGTATGTTTTTCTTGAATTCCGCAGTCACAATCACAAGAGCATGAACTCAGATTAGTGGAGCAATGGACAAAGGTGATAGGTGTGGAAGAGTTCCCAATGGGAAATCCTGCCTCCTTGACCTGCGGCAGTCTGAGGAAGGTGTCAGTGAGTGTTTTGATAAAACCAATCTTGACTGGGTTTTCAAAAAGCCTTCGACAGTACTGTACACCAGAGACTACTGAAGGAATATCAGGCTCAGAAATGAAGCGTACAAACTGAAGGGCATCTGGTGTTCTTCGCTGCAGGGGCTGTTAAAAGGACCTCATGTCCCCTGTGACTTCGTTAATGGAATTGTGAATCAGGGATGGTACGAGGGGAATGTCCCTGTGGCTGTCCTGGCTCATTGCAGGGGAGTTGCTCTGCATGACCTTTATAGGCCCGTTCCAACTCCTAACAATTCTGTGGATAGTTGGTTCAATGTGGTTTTCCCCTTAAAAACAGCAATTCCCTTTGTCACTGTTTTTTCATCATTTTTATTCATAAGCACTGAATTTCTAATTTTAAAAAGCCATGTTTTGTGGCAGGACTGTCCCTGTTGCAACAGCCCAGGGAAGGGCTGCAGTGTTTCGTTTGAGCAAAGCCAGCAGAGTAAGCTCTGCCCTTTGCCTCATTTTGGGATGCCAGTTGCTGGTGCAGCCTTTACGAACAATGGATTTCAGACTTCATGCTCTCAGCTGTGCCACTGGGCTGTACCTCATGGATGATCTCTCTCCTCCTGTCTGAAGCTATTTGTGCAAGAGGCAGAGATGATCCCTTTTGCTATGCAGAGTTAACTTTAGTCTGCGCATGGCAGAATAATGCTAACTGGTGGGAAAGCCTTCAAAGCCAGAGCAGAACCCAGAGCCTAGAGATAGGAACAACTACAAAACATAAAAACCTTATCATCTGCTGTATCTTCGTCAGTTAAGGTAAGTATGGTTAGGTTGAGATTGTACTTGATGATCGTGAAGGTCTTTTCCAACCTGAGCAATTCTATGATTCTGTGACCCCAATCTCTTCTCATCTCTTAAGACAAAGTAATCCTTTCAGTTGTGCTGAACTTGAATTTTTCTGCCACACATTGGTAGAACTGACTTGTAACTACTATTCCCATCTGAGAAATATAATAAAAAAAATCGTCTTTATGATAAAACACACCTGGGTTTCTG